TCTATGTAAAAATAACGAAATAAAATACACCACGTGTTTTTGTATTATTATTCGCTTATAGCGAACTCCGGATATAACGAACCAGTTTTAGTTCACTTTTCAACTTCGTTATATCCGGACTCAACTGTATACCTAATTCAATATCATTGATGTACATAATCCTTAAGTAATAAAACAAGCAGCATATATCCAGTACAGTTGAAAGTAATTCTGAAATGTGGCTCTGTGAAAGCTGTACATGGCCCGAAAGAATCAGTTAAATCTGCATTTTACAATCATTTTTCTCTTCAGAATACGGCAAACGATGATGTAAAATTAGATTAACACAATCCAGAGAACTAATAATAAAAAAAGCCGATGCGCCGCACCATAAACCAGTGCCCAAATCGCATATAAATAAACATGTTATAAGTACGTAATGATAAACCGCATGCGGTCTGAATCCATTTTCATGTCGGCTTGCCTCAAAACCACCGTCAAAAACGGAAGTGCGGCGAATTTCGTGTCGCTGGTATAACAACATTCCTCACTATCGGCGTTTGGCATCTCGTTTTTTCCAGTACAAATATGTGAGACAGAACAATAACATCGAACGCCCCTGGTGAGTTTACAGAAGAAGTGACATACGGGCTGTCAGTAACAAAGATGAAGTGCGCGCGCTTCCAATAGGCCATTTTGTCACAAAATTAACCTTTTGTTATGATGTATCCAAATGAATATTATGGCATTTATTACAGTATTGAATATTTTTTCTAGTGTTTAGAGACAGTTTGTGGACTTAAGAGTGAAAGTGCCATATTGCGTAGTCGGCAGTTCAGTGCAGTTTAAAGCCCTGAACGCGTACTGGAGTTTACCGCCGGATGTTCGATGCAGTCATCTTGCAAACGCCTTTGCTCGCCCTAAATCTCTACGTTTCCTCCATGTAATAGACTTTGCTTAAGCATAAACTGCTCCTGGATAACCGTACTGGTAAGCAATGTCATTAAGAAGCGTTTCACACACTGCCCTTTGGCTATATTTGCTCACTTGTGTAAAAAACCGTCGGGTTATAATCGCTCCAATATGGCTACCGTCGGAATCCACAATATCCGTTGCCAAGCCTAGAAGACCTATTTTCGTTCTTGTTATGTATTCATTCACAGATTAGAGCCATTTTTCCAACCAAAATTAGTGTTTTACGTCTGAGGATGCATCATTTTTTCGTACACGTGCTAATATAACGGCGCAAATTCGATCCATTCGATTATTATTCAAGATGTTTTTCCGGCGGGCAGCACATAATTGTCAGTGGCGGACTAAACAACGATTTCTTGCACATTATTTGCCTTTTTTTGCTCGCCTAGTTAGCCACGACACGTTATTGTTTTTGCGCCGTTAATATGCCTTTGCTAAACAGGTTCTTGTTTTCAATAAGTTCATAGCAAAGCTACTTCAAATCTTTGCATTGCTATGTAACTTGATGGATAATCAATTCATCTGAAACGGGTTCGGTGGACGTTATTTTTAATTTTCTTGATTTTATAATTCTTCGATGATTCACACTTCCATACTCTTCAGAAATTAATGTAGCTTCCATTAAAATTTTTCCAGTAACGCATGTCAACTTTTTAGTCGTGTCTGGGTTGTTTATTGATTGTTTATAATTTCTCATTTTATTTATCTTATATAGTAATATTCGTCTGATTACCTACATTGAATTGCTACAGGTTCATAACTGTTTTGGTCACTCAAATACGAAGGAAAAACCACCCTTCTGATTTCTGATGCAAATTTACATTTGAGGGAAGCCCGTATTGGGAAATGTCGGCTAAATTATATACCTACTTCATTTAACGAGTAACATTTTATTCAGATATGTATTTAGAATCAACTGTTTTTTCGGTTCGTTTCTTTGAAACCGTCATTCCCTTTTGTTTTTCATATGGACCGAAAAAAGTTCATAACGGATTAGGTAGCTTTTTTAATGGCAAATTCAACGATGTATAACAGTACTATTGTTCCTGTTCTTACGTTAAGTAATCAGTTTTTTTTATAAATTATACCCATTTTTATTAGCAATCGATAACAAGGTATTTCAAGAATATATATTTATCTATTAAATTTAACACATTTAAACACAACTTTGATACATTTAGGGCTTTTGGTACACCCTGTACATTACAAAATGTTTTTAAAATGTGCGCCCGGTAGGCGTCTATCTGCCTGATTTATAAAATCTTTTTAAAAACCAAACGGTTTAGCCGCAAATTTCCGTGCCTTAAGCGTGAATAACCCTGTATAGTGTTCTAATAAAAATACTTTATGTAACGTTTAACATTTACTTACGTCTTTGAAGTTTTTATTTTAACTTTGGATTTAAAGAAAATTAGTAATAATGAACCACTTTATCAATTTCTTGCAGTACATATTTACGATTTTTCACACTTTTTTTAAATAAATGATTTAGAGGAGAGGTCAACTTACGAAGAAAACACCTCCACCTTTCTTGTACGTTCTGCAACTTCCCATAATACCGAAATAGAAAACACGTCCCATAACAGAGGTCGAAATAGTTTCCATCTGAATCCTTCTTGCTTAAAAGTTTGGTTGATAATTTTTGCTAGTGGGCTCCTCTTCATTTAATTTTTGGTTCGCTAATGTGCGTTGTTAAAATTTATCATATACATATGTATATATATTTTACAAACCATTGAAACCCATATTAAGTTTTAGTTATCTCCTATGTTTTTGCAGGTAGTTCATTATGAACGAACCAGAAGAAGTTGCTCAGGACGTCTGGTCCGCCTGGATTTTGGACGCTATCAGAAAAATTCGTACACAAAAACAACGTCCCAGCGTTGAACGAATATGCCATGCTATCAGATTGCACCATAATTACCACGAAGATGTCATAGCTGAACATTTGGAAGTTGCGGTGAAAGATGGTGTAGTGTTGAAAGTGTTTAACAAAGGACAAAGTTCGTATAAAGATCCTGGTGGCCTACAACAAAATCGCACCCTTAAACTGCAGAAAGGAATTGATTTAAGTAAAGTGGTAACCAAAGCAGTGCGAGAACTGGGTGAAAGAGATGGATCTAGTTTGAAAGCAATAGAAAAATACATTCAGCAATCACACACGATAGTAGAGGCTGCAGAGGCTGATTTACCCACTCTGGTTAGGTTGGGAGCTAAAAGAGCTGCTGCACGACAATTCGTGATTCCAAATGGAAAAAACTACAAATATAATTACAGTCTACAAGGGTCCTCCAATAAACGGCGAGCAGATACAGTGAGAAAAACGCATACAAATGAAGAAGCAGATAATGTTGCTCGGGTAAGTTTTATGTTTATTTTATACTAGAATCTAAATAGCTGCATATTTAACTGGTAAACTCTTTATGAATTAAATCAAGTATTTGCATCTGTGGGGTTCCCAGATATTTCATTTTTGTAAACTGTAAATTATTGTAAAATGGGATATTTTACTAGATACACCGTTCAAAAGAGGACAAGYAATCCACTGAAACTCTTTTCTCATCTTTGAGGCGTTTGTAATAATATGTCCATTTGCACTATGGTCTCTTTACTGCAACCATGTACTTAGCTAATTCGTGTCTGTTATTGAAAATTATGTCTTTTTAAAATCCATCACTCCTCGACTTGAGCTTCAACGCATTCTCACAATATTTTAAGTTCCGTGATTTCATGAAGTTTTTCAAAGTTCCGTCATTTCTACCAAATTTATTTTGATAAACCTGCTTTTGTATAATTTTTTTTTAATGGGAGCATTATACAGTTTTATTGTTTTCTAATAGCTTACATGTGTATCYTACCAAGAYAACTAAATTAAAAAAAAAATAAAAATAAAATAAAATTACTACTTAAAATAAGTTACTACCATCAACTTTTTTCTTCACTTYACTTCAATTTAATGATTGAAGAATAAACGTTTGCTCTTACCTACTTTTYTGGTAATYCTAGTTTGGAGRMGGACTAGAARCKTGGTTGKYTTGGMCACYAYAWKRYAKTTTMAAAAATTYGCCAAAWWWTGCACAAAAWTTCTTCCAAATCCAAACTTTCCGCATTGKARGCGCTTGATTTTWTYCATTTAATGAATGAAGAATAAACGTTTGCTCTTACCTACTTTTCTGGTAATTCTAGTTTGGAAAAGGACTTATTAGATAAAAATAATTGTTCGCTCTTYCCTACTTTTGTGGTAATTCAAGTTTGAAGTAGGACCAGGAACTTGGTTGACTTGGACACCAAATGACAATTTTTAAAAATTCGCCAAAAATTGCACAAATATTCTTCCAAATCCAAACTTTCCTCATTGGAAGAGCTTGATTTTTTCCATTTAATGAATGAAGAATAAACGTTTGGTGGTACCTACCTTTCTGGTTAGAGACTCAACAGTTACCGATAAATTTACGATTGAACCTTTTAATAATTAATTGCGCCGATTTCTCTCAAATTTCTGTAGTTCTTAAAATAACTGATTTATTTCAAGAAACATAACAATCAAATTACATGTTCAAAATGTGTGCAATTTACGGCTTGACAATATCCAAGGCGACCAATCAACTCTTCTTGCATATTGTTATTTTTTAAATATTATTTTTGCTCGTAAATTGCTCGAGTCCTGTTGAGCAATTTAATTTAGAATTCAATGGAACATTTAAAGTTGAAATAAAAATGCGTGCAAAAACAGTTCTTTGAATTTTAAATGGAACTTCTGGATCTCACTGTATACCTGCCTATATTACACGATAACACTCGCACCTGAATAAACACATTTCACAATTTTTATTGTCATTTATTAATTTCGGACATATTTTTTTACTGCCACTTTTTTACCCCTAGATTATTACTTGTTAAGAATCCTGAGCTTTCCGAATATTTTTTGACGCGATATCTGTTTAAAAACATACTTTATTTCCTTTGATTTAATACTTAATTTTCACAGTTACCTCTTGAAAATGGGTTAAGTTTGAAATTATCCTGTGTACTACTTAGCACAATAATTCACTATGTAAAAACCTTGTAAAGATTGGGATAACTGTTAAGGTCTCTGCACATTATAAAACAGTTTGGCGGTGATATCTAGGCGGCATATTCGATGTACAAGTTTGTCAAATCAACTAAGCACTTTATTAAAGCTTGTCGTTGTAAATTGCTTTTCTCAAAATTGTTCATTAATATGACTCCTATTTTAACTTGGGTTTTTACAATTATATAATGAATTGAGGTTTTTATAAGAAAATCTCTAGACAAAAAAGTATTTATCGCCCGCTGTAGAAAAGCCTAGTGAGATGACTTCGCCGTAAAACTTCAATTCATTATATAATTCTGAAAACTCATGTTAAAAGAGGACATTTTTGACAAAAGCATTTATAACGGCAAGTTTTAATAAAGTGCTTAGTTGATGAACAACTTGTACATCTAATATATTCGCTATTGCTGTATTCGTCTGTACCTTTGGTGTTCTTCCCGTAGCTTATCGGTTCCCCAAAATATTGTTAAGTAAATGGTTTATATTTTCGGGCACCTTAATATATTATATTAAGTTAATGTAATATATTATGGTGCCCGAAGAAACTGTACCTGAAAATGTTTGGTCCATATATAAACCATTGAAGAACATTTTGCGGTACCGAGGTGCGGCTGATTCTAACAAATGAGTACCATCGAGCCGATGCATGGCATTTTCTTTGAACTGCACTGGAGGTTCGGCTTAACTTGATGCGTTGCTATTTCGATTTGTAACCTGAATGTGAATAGTAAAGTAAAGTAGGCAAAGTCAATTACAATCAGTTGGCTGTGTATTTACGTATATTGCACAGACTCTACGATTTTCATTAAAACTATTTTGTAAAGCAAAATGATGCGAGGTGATGGAAATTCATCTTTGTGCATATGCTTTTCTTTTATACATTAACTTAAGTCCGGAAATAAAATATCCATAATTTCTATAACATTAATTTAAAATTAATGACCAGTTAATGTGGATGGATAGCTTTGACCGTCAAGTTGCATGTTACAGAATAATCTTAATTGCATCAAGTAGTACTGGATAGTAGTTAATAACATTGTTATTGGCTCTTTACCTTATTTTAATATTTTATGTCACATCAGAGACATATCGTCGTTTCAGATTTGTTTACTTATCATGAAACGTACGAAATTGTCCAATGTAGATCCTCCAATAAATAGCTCATATAAATGTCGTATTTCGAGCTTGCTTAATATCGCAGAAATTGCAATAATGATATTCTACTTTACAGGCCCCCACAGCATTACCAATTTGCTCAGAATGTCTGGGTACGGAAGCCAAAAACAAAAAAGGAGTTCCTGAAAAATTAAGTGCCTGCTCCGAGTGTGGATCTTTAATTCACTTCAGCTGCACAACTTCAGGAACTGTCCTGTCAGCTTGCATAGCCAAAGGAGGAAAATGGTTTTGCGAAGAATGCAAAATTTGTGATGGCTGTGGTAAGCATATTAGTTAAACTAGTAAAGTAACCCGATTTTTTCAATATTAAAGGTCGTAAAATCGTCTTGTCATTTCTTACGTATATGCTTTTGAAAGAGCAATTATTTTTAACTAGGAATTAGACCACAAATATACATAAATCGAGCTCGTATAGACACTGGTAACTGGTTTTTAATATAGTAAAGTATTTAATATAGGCCTGATAAAACACGATATCACATTATAAATATAGTATAGTAAATGTTAGACAAGAAACCTAATTTATCCGTTTTGCTCATCAGGTAACAGTGGAGTTTCAATGTGCTTATTATGTTGCTGTAATTGTGATCGAAAGTACCATATGAGCTGTTTGGATCCTCCAGCAGAAAAAAAGCCAAAGTGTCCTTGGAGATGCAGTCATTGCTTAAATCATCATGAGAGCGTTGGCAAGGCTCAGAAAAAACAGCCGGGTAGTGCAATAAAGAAGAAAATCGACAGGGTTAGAGAGAAAAACAAGGAATCAATATCAGCAAAGTAAGTGGGCATTTATCCGTAGAGTAGAGTATAGATAAAGTAAAAAGAGCAAACTGCCTTTTTGTTGGAAATACTTTCCCGGCCTGCGATCGGTATAATAAATTATTTCATTTTATGCCGAAAAATTTTCCGCCTACATCAACAGATTTTTGTAATTGAGAAATGGTCTGGAAACTGCAGTTTTACGCAAGAAACCATGGAATTAAGCGCGTGTGTAGATAAAAATAAATAAAATTTTGCTTAATATTTTTTTCATTTGCTAAAAGTAACAACATAAGCAGCAACTGGCATGCAAAAGATCAGTATTATTAAATCTATATAAGTGTTATTTAAATTGTCCTGAAGGAACGAAGCTGTAGCCACATAAACATGTACAGGGTTATTGATTAAACTTTGACCACTCCGTTTTTACATCTAATTTGATAGATGAGATATAATTAAAGAGTAAATTCAATTTGGTTATTATGTTCCAATGAAATCAAATAATAAAAATATCGAAAATGCACATTAGTTATAATTTACTTTTTTGCAGATCGAAAGATGATATAGCTGAGCTATCCTCCTCCCCGAGTCGCCCATCCTCCATAAATAGTCCACAGTTTAGAGCGCCAGGGAAAAAAGGAAAAGCAGCGTCTTCAACAACGACTACCGATGATGAACAGGGAAGCATTCAGGGTACGCAAAATCCTAATACGACTCCTTCCCATAATCTAAGGCCCCCATTACATACCCGCAATTCCATACACGTTTCATCCTCTGACTCTGCCAGCTTAGACAGCCCGGAAAAAATATCTAAGGAAAAGCAAAGTTTTTTTAAACATTCGGCATTTAACATCGAGAAAAAAAGTAGTAGGTTGAGAGAGAAAACGGCCATAAAATCTACAATAATCGAGGAGGCTGGAAAAAGGAAAACTAGGAGAGAAGCAGATAATCACGACGAACAATCTGCTAAGAAAACAATAGCCAACACTCACGAATCATCTAAAAGGTCTTTAAGGAACGGCAAATTGACGCCAACTGTAAGTGTTCCCGCAAGTAATAAAAGAAGTGTGCATCCGCCAGCTACTTCGTCTAAAAAGGTTGTTTTAAGAAGGAGCGAACGGAATGAGGCGCGGAGAAAAGAAAAGCTCTCAACGGACGAGGAAGAAGACGAAGAAAGTTATAGTGAATCATCATCTAGCGAGGAAGAGGAATGTTCCAGTTCATCATGCGACTCAGATTCTGCGACTTCTGATTCTTCAGTTGAAAAGACAAACTCGAACTCAAAGATTCGAATGCAGAAAGTTGTGCTATCCCCTCGCAATTTCGTTGAGAAAGGTAAGACGTTTGGTAGTATTGGTGGTATGAATGAGGACAAGAATGCACCTTGGGGGTTCGCAGCTGCAGCTCAGGCAGTAGAAAGTAGCAAAGTCGAAAATAAGAAAGCTAAGGTTGATGGAAGAAAAGAGACAAAAAACTTGTTTACTACTCCTTCGGAAAATGTTAGTTTATTTGATAATAATCCCAATGCTAAACAATTCGAGGATAAAAAGACAAATCACGGCTTGGGACAACTGAAAGGTCTATTTGATGGTCTGTCGCACTTTTTTGCCGCACCCACGCCTAGTCGCGTGAGCAGATCGCAACCTAATTATAATCCGAATAAAAGGAAACCAAAAGATGATCGGTCAGCGAAAGAGGATCAGATTCAAGTCGAAAAGGAAGAACGGAAAAAGTTCCCGAGTCCCACTCTCCCGCCTCATCCTCCCTCCTCTCCAGCCTTGTCACCTAGCGACCTGGTTAAATCGGCAGTAAACTCTCAAGAATTGATGACGGAACAAGTTAAATCTCTCAAAACTGAAGAGGTGAAGACCGCTGCGACGGTGTGTGAAAAGCTCTTGTCAACGCCGGTCAAAAAGCGCAGTCAGCAAGCGCCCAAGACGTTAGCCGTTGCGGCATCTGCAGTCACCAATCAGACGGGTAAGATCACTAGCTGTCGGGGTCGACAGCTTTGTGTCACCAAAATACATGTAGTTAGTCCAAAAAATCAGGTTTGTTGCAAACGGTTTCTAAATTTTCTGAGGTGAATGTTTATTAAAGAGTAACGTTTATTTAATGTCTTTTAAATCACCCATTTTTTTTATTCTCAAAATTCAACATACAAATTTAAATATTTATTATCATATTCTACACAATGCTTCAATAAAAACAAACATGACATCTTCACTAGTCTGCTATGGAGTCGTAAATGTCTTCTTTTCGCCATCTGAGTGGTTGCAAGTACTAGATCGTTAACACAATAAAATGTTGTGACTCTTCACATCTTAACAGGAGCTGCGACATATTCAAAGTGCTTTTGTTTTCGTGTTTGTGGTTCACAAGCTAAACGGTTTACACTTAATTTATTTCCTCGTTGTCGATGAGGTTTGGGAAATACTCTTTTATGCATCGTCTGAAGCACTTTCCTCACCGCCGCGATAGCATCCAGCCATGCACTACGGCCATTTCTGTTCTATGCGCTCTCGTCTGGTCTACACTTATTATCGCTGTATATTTAATGAATTCCAGACAAATTTTACGAAAGACTGTACTCATGAAATCATTTGGTAGGACTTCTTCGTCTTCCTGTTGCATATCACGTGCAGTAATACATTTTTATAATGTAATGCTGGCATTTTGAAAATGAACAATCAATATGTTAGAGAATAGTACTCAGTACAGTGTAAGCTTTCGAGCAAGCCACCTCTGCAGATGCAAGTCACTCGTGCTTACGAGACTTTAGGAAGATACTCTATTTCGCGACGGCTTAAAAACCCGAAAAACTCACCAGTTTCATAGAATGGTCTCGAAAGTCTACCTCTTTAGAAAATGGGCTAAAAGTCGTGAAGCAAAGAATACAAAAAGAACGCTTAAGAGTGTTCTGAGAAATGGCACCATTTTTATAGCGGAAAACATTTAAATGAGAGATGGGGTCGAGTGATAACACTCATTTTGGAGATATTTATATCTTTATTATGCGCCCGAAGTTTGAAAACGCTGCAATCTTCACAGACGAAAAACTCTTCAGTACAGTTTGTTTCGCGTGCACCGTAAGGCCGGTCGTCCTTTGGATGCGTTTTTATCCAAATTGCGTTCGTCAGAAATCGTGCGAAAAGATGCGAATTAAGCAATTTCATTGCAACATACTGGAGCTCGTCCAATAGATCCGAAATCTTTCGCACGATTCGGACGAATTATTGCGATGGGCGAACGATGCGAATCAAATTGGATTTGTTTCCAGGTTCGCTGTGTTTCTGACTGCGTGAATATTTGTGTGACACACCGAGCTGAAATGGATGTTGAGAAACTAATGTCTTTCTGATTTTTTAAAAATCTTCATATAAATGATAAAATTCTCCAAATTCTTTTCGTTTTGCTAATGTATGAGAAACCCAATAGTTCTTTTCGTTTTAACTGTGATTGTCTTCTGACAATAGAAATGTGGCCATTTACGTAATCGCACGAAATATTGTTGTCTGTAGAAGTCATCCACAAGCTTATTCCCATCTGCTGACTTTTTGTTGTTGTAAGAGGCTTACAAAATAACAAATCTTCCATGGGTCTTGATGGGTCCAAAGCCGCCTCTCTTCACATTGCATTCCATGAAGCTCTTCTTGCCTTTTTATTGCGTTGCCATACACCGTCTTTGATGTCATGTTTACACTTGCTTACACTTAGGTCCTTTCATTACAATCTTTGAAGGCGCTTTCGAATTGCTTACTTGATAAGTATAATTGTACCATATGTATGTTACTATCTAAAAGATATATGAAATCCTCCGTATAACAGTTCTGTTCATTGTAGACTTGCATCGTAAATGTTTCCAAAATAATTGTCAATTAATTGAGCATTTCACTATATTCTTATTAAATATCTACGAAACCGGCGAACAAAACCTAGAGCGCACATTGCGATTGCTTAATTTGAAAACAAATTTATTACATGTCTTTTGGTTGGCACGCGTTGTGCATAAACTAACATACCATTTTATTTGTCACTAATCAATTTTGCGAATCACTAATTCCTATGTAATTTGGAGGCATGTTGTCATTTAAGTGTTGCACCCCTTCATGCTGATTTTACCTGATCTGGTTTGTAATATGTAAAAACTGATTTTTTTCGAGGGATCTTACAGAAAATGTGTCGCTTTGTGTTTACAGTTTATATTTATGTGTACATGTATCAGTTTTGTAAATGTTGTATTCTGGGGCATCGTTTGGTGAGGTCTAAGTTACTTCTGTTAAGTGTAATTTAATTGATTGATAATAATAATGAAAGGTGATTTACATTCTAAAGTTGTACATGTTGTGGTTTCCGTTTTAATACAATTTACTTATACTTGCAATTACAATCCATACATTAACGGCAAAGAAGAGTTTTCGAGATTTTTATAACTAATATTTTATTTTTAACAATTACGGTTATCTATCTGTAAGAATTATTTACACATTACCTGAAACTAAATTGAGTTTATTCCGATCATTCCATAATTAATGGGCGACGAAAATGTAGCAGAACATCAAACTGTAAAACCAAAGTAACTAAATTTCTGGTTTTTATTTAATAAATAAAAGTGGGCCATTGTCTTGAGCGCCTGCAAGTTGGCAAATTGTGCACAAGCAAACTTTTCGTTAGCATGAAAGGGTAATCACATGTAAAGTTTTCAGCTAATTGGATTTTCAGTTTTTAGCAATATGTGATGATGCTTTTACTAACTTTATTAGTTAGCAAAGTTAATTATAAATATATACAGACTGTTTGTGAGGTATGTGTACGTAACTCTACCAGACATTAATCGAAAATTTCTATTATATAAAAATCTACAAAAAATACAATTCTCTAACGGGTATAGATGGATATAACAAGTTGTCTGTCTAATAAACTACAGAAATACTGGAAATGCTGAAGTTTCTTGGTGACCGTGATGATAATTAGTGGTAGATTTTTTTTCTTTCTGTTTGGGTTGATCGGTCAATAGATAATGGCAGAAGGGAAAACAAACAACTTTTCGTTTGTCTGGGCCAACGTTTCGGTTTTATTTAAGCCATATCGGGGCTCTAAAAGGTAACAGAGTGGTCAGTCTTCAAATTATTCACTTGAAACTGTTAATCGCCGTTGAATATTACTTGCCAGGACTTTCGCCCTGCAGTTTATTATCAATACTCGCAGTTACTAAAAAGTATGTTTTTACTACTAGCCCAATAAACTTACTAGGCAAGACAARAATTATACACAKGATTATTCACAACGGAAAGGGCGCMTTTTTACGTTTCGCATAATTATTGCCCGATTAATATCTGCAYTATTTTAAAATCAGATYTCTTTCTTTTATGCATGCAACATCATTCCGACGCTCKAATAAATAATCGATTATTTAKTTTTGRTGACTARTGACTGATTAACATATTTCCTAGGGTCAACACTAAACGTTAATACCTACACTTTGATAATGAAAATAAGAACTGCTAGTAATAAAAAAAATCACACGCAAACTCTCATCTCTCACCAATCATAGTCTTGTAAATAGTTTTCAAAACAAATGTTTTATTAAMACGGGATGCATAGTCGTTTATATTTAACAATTTTTTTATTTATTCCATTAAATTTCCCATATTCTGTTGCTTCATACCTATTGTAGTTAGCAAATATTTTAATGCATGTGATATTTGGCCATTGGACAAAGCTTAACTAACAACACATCAACTAATCAAACTGAATGCTTGAATTAAACTTCACCGATTCTTCAATTAATCTCTTCTCTTTAATATCACAAAAAAGCCTCAGTACGGTGCACACACTCACATTTTTGAGTTATATCTTACCTTATATCTATTTTGAGAACTCAGTTACCAGTTGTTTTATTTTATTTTTATATTTGTGACTCTTCTTCGACCATAAACTCACATCGGAGCAAATTGTTGTTTCGCTAAAACCTACAATTATTTCTATAGTATTTCAAATATTATTCTCACAACCTTTTAGGTAGATGCCTAAGGATAATTCCAAAAATTCGACTTAAGTGTTTTCGTCYCATCTGTATTTAATGAGTGAAAATCCTAWAAATWTGACTGAGTGAAAACATAAATCTTAATATCACATATATCAGAACATCAAATCTACAAGCCAKTTYATCACTYCCATTTAAAGCGRCAAATAAAATGTTGTTATTGTTTGCTTGCAGATGACATCAAACCTTTACAACTCCCACCAGGGTGCAATCACAAAGATTTAGAACTCTTCAAGGARGCACGGGAGAAAGCAAACGCRCAAACKGCAGCCCTTTTGGAAGCTGACGAACGGGCCAACCAGTCTATGATGTTATCCTCTCCRTCCAAGTTAATGCAGCAACAGCCGAGAAATCCTGGAGCAATCGAATTTGGAAAGTACGAGATCCAAACGTGGTATTCGAGCCCGTTTCCGCAGGAGTACGCTCGCCTTCCCAAACTATTTCTTTGTGAGTTTTGCTTGAAGTATACGAAGAGCAAAGCTGGTAAGTTTTAAACTTTTATAATTGCAACTAGCAAATTAATCATTATTCCTGTCTCTTATCGATAGTTTTAAAGAGACATCAAGACAAGTGCACTTGGAGACATCCACCGGCAACTGAAATATACAGATGTGGCGACATATCCGTCTTTGAAGTTGATGGTAATGTGAATAAGATCTATTGCCAGAATCTTTGCCTATTGGCGAAACTGTTTTTGGACCATAAAACTTTATATTACGATGTGGAACCGTTTCTATTTTACGTACTGACAAAGAACGATAAGAAGGGATGTCATCTGGTGGGATATTTCTCAAAGGAAAAACACTGTGTACAGAAATACAATGTCAGCTGTATCATGACCATGCCTCAGTATCAACGACAAGGGTTTGGACGGTTTTTGATTGATTTCAGTAAGTAATTCTTGCTATTTAGTTAGTTAGTTATGACCATAACTTGGCGCAGGTTGATTTTTATGTCACGGCATAGCTCAGATATCAAACACATTTTTCATGATCTCCAGTTGGCAAGTACGTAGTTTCGCCATTGTTTAACTTAATAGTAAAGTACGGTACAAGAGCAAGAGACGAGAGGCGAAGTTTCGCCACTGCTTGAAGCATTATGAACACAGTGGCGGGCTTTCGACTTTCGTCTCGCGTACCGTATACTATTTTTCTTGATTTTCGGCGGAAACTAGCCGCACAAAGTCCCAAATCTAAGTCTGCGACTTTTTGTTATTTTTTAAATTTATAGTAGTGAACACTTGTAAAGTGTAGCAAAACCCGCAACGTTATTGCAAGGCGCTTTAATTCTCTCAAAATTCGTAAATAAATTTATAAAAATTGACCAGCTTATATGCAATATGAAGCATACATTCTTAAAAATGCTTAGAAACTGGAGGTGTCAAAACAACAGTAGATGATGAGGTCGTAATAAATGTACTTAACACTCGATATAATTTTCAGGCTACCTACTATCCCGGGAAGAAGGACAACCAGGCACACCAGAAAAACCTCTGTCAGATCTAGGAAGAGTTTCCTACAATTCGTACTGGCAATCAATAGTTTTAGAATACTTGAACGATCACAGAACAGAAAAGTTAGAGTTAACCGCGATCAGCAAGAACACAGGCATGTATTGTCAAGATGTTGCTTTAGCTTTTGAACTTCTGGGATTTGTTAAATGCGCGCCAGCGACGGACAACGGGATGAAAGTCGAAATATGTGTGAACTGGGACAAAGTTGACAAGTATGCAGAGAGAGTGTCGAAGTCAAAAACGAGAATTCATATTGATATGGAATGTCTCAGGTGGAAACCATTGCTTTCTAACGCTGCCAGTCAATTTAGAGAGGAAAAGTCGGATGGAGAGGCAAATAAAAGTGGTGCAGAAACGTCCGCAAACATAGTAACAGCACCGGAGACAATTATAATAGAAAATACACAAGGCGTGAAACTGAAAAAAGGGAAAAAACGAAAGGTCGTTTCGTCAATGCCCCGGATATCTAAAATACCCAAAACAGAAGTACCAAAGTCATTAAGTACCTCGTCGGATACACATAATGAGGCGCCGCTTGCGTCGGAAGAGTTTGAAATCACTTCCTCTGGAAGGAAAAGAACTAGGCCTCTAAAGTTCAACGAAACAACATACGCTGATGTGAAGCCCAACAAATCAACCGCAAACACAGATAATAAACGCAAGAGGCCCGAATGTGACAACGAAAAAGAAAGCATTTCTAAAAAGTTGAAATCTGAAAAGATGGAAAATGATATAGTTCTAAATGAAGGTAATCTTTCAAAAGTATCCAACAGTAAAAACGCTTCTGCAGAGGAATCTTCAGTGTCGAAATTAGAAAATCCAATAAGTTCAGGTACAGTGCGATCAACCAGAAATACTCCCCAGGTTAAGGATAAAGTAACAGGCGAAAGATGGTCCCAACGCAGGGCTAAAAAGCAGAAAGAATTGGATCAACATCAAAAGAAACACGAAACGCTTCAACAGTCGGATCAGGAAGAAATTAACCCTACCGTGGACCAACTTTCGAGTGAATCCGTTGACCAAACTAATAAGGAAGAAATAAGCAGTAAACCAGAAGTTTCAGCTAATATCAGTGCATCAGTGAAATCAGTTCCAACATTGTTGGGAACCCCACAGCTAAAGAGGAAAAGGATAATAAAGAAGCGCAGGCCGTGGAATAAGAGCAGAAGATCGAACGTCGAGCTATCGAATAACCAACCAACAATCCCCCAATTATTAAAAACCAAACAATTGCACAAGGACAGTGAAAGTGATTCTGTGGTTTCTGAAAAATCTGATGACGAACAGTTTGGTGACACGAAAAAAGAAAATGTTTCGGCAATTTCCGGGACAGGTGTAATGGAAACAATAGAAAAAAAGAAACCAAAGAAAGCGTCAAGAATATCGACGGACGAAGACTCGAGTGCAGAAGCCGATGACGAGATGGAGAACGACGAACTTCCTACTCATAAGGAATCGTCATCTCCTATCAAGTACAAGTATTCTAGAATCACTCCTACCAAAGATGAGTTACTAAGATCGCCCCCAAAGTGTAGGTCATCCAAAGATAAATCAGCTTCTCCAAATAGCACTATTCCGTCGAAGCTTGGTGAAGCAGAAAAACCATCTGCGGCTTATTCTTCTACTACCTCAGAATCAGAAACAGAAATTGATGGTCATAAGATAAAAACAATATCTAGCAAAAAAATATTAGAGTTATCAAAAAATAAGAGTTTCGAATTTAATGATAGAATCAAAGCAGAAGAAGCAATACCGCAACCGAGCAGCGATCCTGTAGAGAATCAAGAAATCAGTGGCATTCCAGAAAGTGGAAAAGTTGTACAAGATGGATCAACAGCAGATACAGAAAACCCGGAGCCCGAGATATTGAAAACGGAATCTACCAGAATGTCTGTGGATATGGAAATAGAAAAAATGGAAGAATCTCAAGCTATAATCGAACATCATCTAAATGCGAGTAATTTACCCAGTAATGACACTAAAGAAGAAGTAAAAGTGGAAAATCATGTCAGCAATCAAATACCTGAAGCCTTGAAATCTGATGCACGTGAGCAAGTGGTTACGAAACCGCACAATTTGGAGGAAATCGCTTCTGAAGCCATGACTGCCACTGAGTCATCATCCAATAAAATTCAACCAGACGCTGGTACAACTAAACCAAACTTGATTCAACCCCCGATAACACAGACAACACTTGGCACTGAGAACCGAATCTCATCCGATGCTGTGGTGAGTAGGAGTAGCGACAATCAAAGCGTTATTAAAACTCCAGAAAAATTGACATCAGAAGCCACGCCTGCCAATATGCACCCTACTACTACAACACCGAGTTCAACAACATGCTCTTCGGTCATTGATAGAATTACAAGTGATTGCGACAATGTAAAGCACTTGCCAACCCAACCCGCTTCCATTAATACATCGACCACAGAAAGCAACCCACCAATTATCACAAGTTTAGCAGTATCACAAAGTCCTGCGGTTATCAAAGCTGCCCCTGTTTTGCCGCATTCAGTGGCAGTGCCCACAATGAACCTGCCACCATCCACTCAGCCAATCTATACACCTGCGTTTGAGCCTCCGGCGGAAAAAAAGCCGTTGACAACAGTAGTTGCAAATAACACAGATAATCATAAATCTTTAAGATTGGACCCGTCTGTACCAACACCGAAACCAATTTCATCTGTTCCGCAACAACCAAAATCACTCAATCCAGCAGCTGAATCTAGAGATGAAAAATCGAACTTAAAACCTACCTCATGTCAATTAAAACCAAGTCCTGAGAAGCAGCCGGTCATCTATAAAGAGCATATGGTTTCTGCCTCATCAATAGAAGCAAAATCGGTTATAGAAAAACCGCCACATAAAGATGTAAAAATGTCTCAGCACATGGACGCAAGAGAATCATCTATGAAACACAAGGAAGATCATAAGCCGGTTCCGAAGCAAGATCATTCTAGAACTGAGAGAAGTAAGCAAGAAAAATATGACGACAAAAGATTTCAACAAAAGTTACCCTATGAAGATAAGTTGTCTTATGATGCGGCTCAGAAAGTTCATATAGAAAATGAAGCTTTACTTGCGAGTATGGCTTCTCAAGGATATATGAACATGAATATGACTGCACAATATCCATGGCAGTGGGATAGGTTTTATGTGAATAAGTATTATGATCCAACAAAAAGGGAGTATGCAAGTTATGCAATGCCTCCTTTACAGTTCCCGTTGGATATGATGCCACCAGCAAAACAACCTAGTAGTTGTGAGAAAGAAAAAACCTCTAGTAAAAGTCATAGATACGATTCGTCCAAATATAATCAGCAGGTAGTTAGTGGTAGCGGCAGAAGTGCAAGTAACTCGAATAAAAACGAACACAAAGATAAGAACCAGTCGCCGAAAAAGGAGGAGAAGGTTAAACACAAATTGGAGCATGAAAGTAGTCGAACAGCTTCAGAACAGTATAAAGCCAGCTGTTCCATAGTGAACCATGCACAGCATCTTGAGCACAAGCAACAGTGTGAATCTGCAAATACGAATTTAACTATTCCGTCGAAAGTGGCAACCAAGCAAAAAGATGATATGCAGAAAGTTGAAAACCGTGACAACATTCATCAGCAAGCGGCATTAAAACAAGCACATGCACCGATACAACCAACTGCAGACATGCCTTCTATGGCCGTTTACCCTCCAGATTCTGCTACGAACTCTGTTCATAGTCTGTCGTATGCTCCATGCGAACTGGATGTTGCCCATATCGGCTTGGAATCACCTGCCTCAATTGCAAGCGATATAACATCTCAAAATTCTGTGGACGTAGTACGTCCGTCATCCGCTATATCTTCCCACTCTGGACACGGAAATCCACAACCTCCCCTAACCAACTATGACTGCATGCAGCAACAAAACCTACAGGCTCAAGGAGTAACCATACCTGCGTCAAGTCCGGGTTTGAACAGTACAATGCAGATCCAGCAACCTGTACCTCAACAGCCTGCTCAAACTCCCGGAAGCTCAAGTAAAAGACAATTGCAACAGCCAAGAAGTCGGTCAAATACGCAATCTAGTAAGCAACATAGTATGAGAGCAACTCCACCGGCTGCACCGCCGCAGAGTTCCAATAGGCAGCGGGCAACTCCGCCTGCTGGACATCAACACCAACATAATATGCAAGTGAGTTCTTCGGCCACTAATTCCCAACATCAGGTCATGCAGCAGCAGCACCAACAACAACTGCAGCAACATTTACAGCAGCAAGTTGCAGCGGCAGCGGTGCATCAGGGATATTCGCATCAATTGGCAGCAACTGCGATGCATCAGCATGCTCATCATGGACATCATTCGGTGATCAGCCAGGCGAACTATATACCTGTGGCCACAACGCAAACTTTTTCGGGGCAGAGCTCAAGTTCTTACGTTAATGTTCCAATGACTACGGTAATTCAACACAGAATGGCACAACAGGGCGGAATAAGTCCGTTAAGCACTTTGGGATCGGGGCATCAGAACTTGGCTGTGTCGCCTAGTTGCGCTGTAACTACAGCTAGTTTCTATATTCAGACTAATCCTCATACGCATTCCCATACGCCAGTACCGACAGTGCCTACGCCATCTCCAAATTCCTTGCAGGCAAACTCCGGCCAGCCTGCATCAGGCAATTCAAGTTGTAGTCTGGCAAAGTTACAGCAAATGGTTTCTAATAGTACAATTCCGCCTTCTGCGTGTAATACAATGACGCCGCCGCCAACGTCGATGACGCCACCAGCCCATCATCCACATACAATGACTCCACCACCAACGCATCAAGCAATGATACAAAATCAAGCAGTGCGAAACTTAACACCACCTTCGGCAATACCGTCGAATTTGCAACAACAAGTTCTGGGATATTCCAAGTACTATCAAACGAATATGAATGTTAACCAGTTGAGCGGCTCAGTGACGCCGCCGATTGGCCAGAACATCGGCCGATCCGGCCGCAATTCTGCACCAAATGTTGCTGCCATGCAACATATGCAAAGTACTTCTAGCAGAGTCAGTCCGAATGTGTCCTTGAATCCATATGTAATGAACAATTCCCTGAATGGGTATCGGATATCACCGCAACAGGCTCCTGGAGCGGTTACGGGATATATTACGAACACTCCGGCAGGATTTATAAATAATCAGATACCTGCTATGCAGATGATGAACATGGCCGCTCAAAGTCAGTATCAAGACCCGGCGGCATTGCAGAGAGCCCAGCAGAATACTATGTATACATACAATTATATCAATGGAATAATGAGGCGGTAAAGGATGAATTACATGTTGCGAGTATAATGAGTAAAGTGATATCTTGTTGTAGGCCGTCGTTTAAATTATAGTTTACGTACATGTACAGTACTTATCCACATATTCGTTTGCACGATATATTTAGAAACCCTTCGGACTTCTTATTCTGATATCATGCTAATGAAGTGAAGCTTTGCATGCAAATCGGGGATCGATAAAGTTCACTGTTGTCTGTTGCTCGTGGATATCTCACTCTCACTGGCATGCGGTTTCATACCATACATAATGGTGCATAGAATGTATACAGGATGATTCAAAATTTGAGTCATTCCTCTGGAGCTGTTGTGAAAAAATAGAAGGAATGATAAAGGCGCTCTCAAAAATTACTTTAAGAGTAAGCCCCAGTAACCCGCTAAATGGAATGACATCAATTTTGAATCACAATGTATAATATACTAACAACTTTCTTATTTGAGAGAACACGGTGATTGTTTTAAAAAAAATGCGATCCACAAGTCAGATATTATACACCTATCGCTGGTGCCGGAACTGAAAATACCGATTGTAATCCTGTAAACGTAAAATGACTACATAAATCGGTGTTTGTTTTGAACTTTTTACCTAGTTACAATGAGTACGACACCAGTTTCTAAATATCTCGCTGCAAGCACTGCTTGAACCTCTGAGTAAGTCTGCCAATATTAAGTTTCGGCAATTGATGCATTTAGTAGATAATTTCAATAACATGTTTTTATTGCACTTCCTGACTATTATGCTGTTGAATAGTGATTCAGTTGTATCAGAGATAATAACTAGTTGATTATTATTAAGCTCATGTAAATATTGTAAATAATTGAGTAAGAACTTAATATATTATTTATTTATCACAAAAAAGTTGTCTAAAATTTTAAGAGCGTTTGCAAATATGTAGAGGATAAAGCATTCTATAGTCTAGTTGGGTATATTATTTTGTATAGCACAGCGAGTAGTTTGTATGTAATTCTGAAAATGGAAACAATAGCATTACTTTGTAAATTTGATAAGTTATGCAAAATTAAATAAAATGTTAGTTTTTATTCGTGTCCATTAATTCTTGTTTTATACACCCTTATTCGAGATTGACTTGATCAGAATAGTTCCCTATTTCTCCGTCAGAAAATGCGTGCTAAGTGAAATCTAAACAGCATTAACAGTCTTTGATTATATTGATTTGTAATTATAGATTCTGTTTTAAATGTTCAAATTTTTGGAAAAACATTGTCGCACTTATACCAGGTACTTATAATAATTGCAACTTACAACAACAAGCCAACGAGCTTATTAGATCTGAGTATTTGCTCGGTAAATAATCAAATTTTTAATTGCATTTTTTCTTATTTTGAATTTGATGCTTGGGTCACGCTAACAACTAGTCCAATGATCCTTTGTTTTTGAATAAAAAGTTAACAAAATATGTTGTTTTTCCTGGCCTTTTGGAAAATATTAAAATAAAATAAAATTACATAATAACTAAATCTGTTGGATAACATTAAATTCCATCAAGAGCAAAGCAATAATATAAATATTAAAAAATTGTAAGCAATTATTTTCATTGACTTACTTTTCAGAGCATTTGCTCTTTTAGCATTGTCTAGAGTCTTAGACTGTGTGTCTTGAATTGAAATTTGTTGAAAAACGTACAAAACTGCACCTCGAAAAATTGCAATCGGTTGCAAAATCGAACAAAATACTTTGAATTTTTACCTCGATTAACTCATTTTCCAAATAGAACATCAGATTGTTTGCAAAGCGTATTCTCGACACTGTTAAGAAAATTTGTATTTGCAACAGTTTGGAAGGAAATGGGCTCTGAATATTAGCAAGCGAAAAACTCTCAAACTTGCACATACCTACTTCCACTCTTTACCTTGTAACTCTGTCAGTTATCAACATTTTTCAGAAATTTAACGACTCTTAAAAAGCCCATAGACTTGGCGTAAAATGTTGCTTCAGGGCGTAAAAATTAATTTTAAATTTAAAAAAATCTGTAACGCTGGATGTTCCTTGAAACACACTCATTTGCTACAAGTTTGGGGCGCACCAAGATTTTTTAATCAGAAAGGTATTTTAAGGATCAACTCAATGGTTTGAAAAAAATTGCTACTAAAGTTTTTTTTTGAAACATTTTCCAAATTTTTGAATTCAAACACTAATGCAAAAATGCAGATAAGTTCTATATTGTTGAGG